TTAAATATTCCAGAATGGCACTTTTTAATGATGTGGCAATGACAACTCATACAATTAGCTTACGTGGAGTATGCCAAGTCAGACTTAATTGTTTTTTTAATTTTTTTCAATTCTTTAAATATTAAATTACTAAAATGCCCTTAATTTATTCTTCTTGCCTTGGTTCTCCTTTGTGCTTTCTTTGTTCATCTTGCCACCGCCACCATTTCCAGCCATTTTTCCTCCCTTTCCCCCTCATCAGCTTGGCCATGATTGGCTTCATGAGGAACCCAGAGACGATTTGGGTTCGTCCACCATTTCTAGCCATTTTTCCTCCCTTTCCCCCTCATCAGCTTGGCCATGACTAGGTTCATGAGGAACCCAGGTCTGCTATGGGTTTGTCGCGAACCCAGGTCTGCTCTGGGTTCGATGTGAACCCAGGTCACCCAAGTTTGCTCTGGGTTCGGTGCAAACCCAGATCTCTTCTGGGTTCATCGCAAACCCATTTCTTTATTGCCATAGATTATGTAAAACTTGTTGAATATATTTATGTTAGAGTCCAGTTTGAAGCAGGACAATATCTTAAGTAAACATGACTTGTCATCTTGATGTTTGGAACTTCATATTTTCTTCACAAACCCCTAAACTGTGTCATGTAATTGGTCAAATTTTATTGTTTTCTAGGTTGTCTTCATCTACATTAGCTGAAGGAGTACAACAGTATGTAGCTCGAGAATTTGAGAGCTATGTTGCCCTTAGCGCATTTCCTCTTACTGGCAAATTCATTTAGGTTTGTTTTCTTACCGCTTTTCAAACCTTCAGATTCACCACAATGTTCATTATTAATTCCTTCTTTTTGCAGGAAGATGTATGCTAACTCTCTCATTCATGGTGATTCACACATGCTTTTCGTAGAGGATAGAAATAAGGTAAAGTAGATTTGTGGAGGAAACAGTGGCATTTCTTCTAAAATTTTATGTTGCTTTTAATTGTGGAGTACTGAACGAAAGAGGATGAAAGAGGCAAACCCAAATCATTTGGGTTCGTGACGAACCCTTCTGAGTTCATGACGAACCCAGTCATGGCCAAGAAGGAGATAAGGGGAGGGGAGAAGAGAAATAGTGACAACCAAAGGAAAAATGGTTGAAAATGGTGGTGGTGGGAAGGAGAACAAAGAGAGCACAGAGGAGAACGATGGAAAGAAGAATAGATTAAGGGCATTTTAGTAATTTTATATTTAAAGAATTGAAAAAGATTAAGAAGAACAATTAAGTCTGACTTGGTATACTCCACGTAAGCTAATTGTTTGAGTTGTCATTGCCACGTCATTAAAAAGTGCCATTCTGGAATATTTAACTACCAAGTGTCACTTAATTGATGAAAAGATTAAAATTGTGCAGTTTTTAGAGTTAAGGGATCAAAAAAGTGCAAAAATTTGTTAAGGGACCAAAAATGTGCAACTCTATAAAGTTGAGGGACCAAAATTAACATTTAACCTAAAAAAATTAATTTTTTTTTCCCCCCCTTTGTTCAGGTTTTGTTTTTTTTCCTTATTTTTTTTTTTAAATTTTTTAAATTTTTTTTTATTTTGTTTACCTTTTTTATTTTTTTTCCTAATAAATAATTATGATATTTAAAAATATTAATTTATAAATTAATTTTTATTTATTAAATAATAAATATTAATTGTTTTATTAATTATTAACTATTCTTCACAATCAAATCAAATAAAGTTAATATTTTTTAGGGAAATGATATGGTTATCTTGCCAATCAACACCCTCACCTACACCATTCGGTTCCCAAAATATAATATGATTTAAATAGATTTATACAACGTTAAAACTTATCCCTAACTTATGTGGGTTATCATTTGACTTCTTCGAAATTCCTAGTCCTAAAAGCCAATTTAATCCCTTCAAGCTCTACAAATTTCGACATTTACTTGTCCCAATTTGATGAAACCATGTCAATCGGCCTTCTCCTACTTCCATTTTTCCAAATTGTATAGATTATGAGTCCATGGGTTATGCAATAAGACCGATTGTAAGAGTTATGGAAGTGTCAACAAATCCCCAAGACTAGATTCCAACAAGAGTAACAATTTTTGCTGATGCTCCTCCATCTAAGTCTGGGCCACTAAACAGAAACGGGTTCCGTCGCAATACCTTAGTTACAAAGACGTAGACAAGGATCGCATGACTAGAATTGTAATTTCACGTAGTCTCTCTGTCTTCAACTAAGCTCTACCTTTTCTGCAGCAACAATTAAAAGAAAGATAATTTTTTATTAGAAAATAGATAACGCAAGAATAAAGTGCATGTAACTTCGTATTAATCTAGGATTTAGATGAATTTAAGCACTGAGTTGCTTTATCTCTAAAATCCCATCACCACAAAATTTTAAATTATTTTTTTCAACCAAAAAAAGTTTAATTTGATTCTTTTATTTGGCTAGATCTGAAATTTTTTTTTTTTTGGAGTACCACTAACGTTTTCATACCTCTAATCCCCTTCAACCCACTGTTCACAAATCAAAAGAACTCATATTTTTCGTATTAAAAAGAAGAAATATGGAATTCAACAAGAAGCAAGGGATCTTGCAAACTTAGATCGTCACTGACGCTTTCATCATTGATGAGCACTTGGGGGAGGATAGGAAAGCAAAAAAAATACAAAAGAAAATCTTTGGATTATTCCTCAAAGCCGATGACTACAGTCAACCACATCTGTTTCTCCCTATCTTCAATCGAATTTGCTTCTCTATATTTGCGATCGAAGCATCTACGTCCAAAGAATCAAATACTTGCAATATGTGAAGGGAAAGGACTAGAAGGTTCGGTGCTCTTCTTCTCTCTCTTCTACAAGAAGACACATGTTTCTAGCTTGTTTGGTAATGAGAATAGACATTGTTTACTTGAATAGTTGAGCACTAGAGTGTTTCGGTATTATTCCAAACCGCTAAATAATACATATTATATAAGGTATAATTCATAGGGTGTTGAACTAGCGAGGATCCCTATCATGATCATGTTTTTTAACACAATTTTAATTACCTTAATAAATAAATTGGTATACATAATCACAGAAAAAAAAAATCCCCTCCTTTTTATCTTGGCAATTAAAAAAAAATCCCTTTTCTTTTCTCCTGAAAATTCGCCTCCTTTAAAGCAAAAAATTCGTTATAAATTTGTTGGGTATGGAGAATTTTTTTCTTGTCTGAAATCCCCATTTATCCATAAAAAATGTCTTTTTTTTTTTTCTAATCCAAACTGGCTAAGAAAAATCTCAATAGAAAGACAGATCTCTTATACATACTAGATGAACAGTCTATAAGCTGAGCAATATATACATTCAACACTATTATCCCAACAATCCATTACATTTCAAAAAAAGAAAAAAGAGTATTTATTTTAAATGATTTGAAATTCAAGTTTCCTCTTGGGGTTTCATTATTACTGAGGCAGAATTAATGCCATAAATACCTCATGTGAGAACTGGAACAAAACAATCAAGGTGCATCACTATCCTAACTTCACTCTAAGAAACAGCAGAATTAAACAACTGATCTAAATCACGGCTTCAGCTGGCTCATCTCTTTTTCAGCCAAACTATCATCTGTACGGGGCCCATCATCCAACAGCATGGTGGATGGTTCATCCTCTTTCTTCTCTTCGACGTCTTTCGCACTCAAGAAACTGGGCTGATTTGTTGATGACAGAAGCCTTGCCCACATCCTATCAGTGATCACAACCTTGTTCTGTTTCTCGATGATTCGCTGCAGGCCAACCATTGAACATACATAATCATGCAAATGTATTGAAAGTATTGTCACATACAAGCCAAGAAAAGCGAAGGTATTGAAATCACAAATCAGCATATGCACAACAGGGGAAGATTTCTATACGAATTTGACAAATTAAATCTATTAACTCATGATTGAACTCACATAGAAAGGTATGTAAGTTTGTCTGCCATTGACAAGACCACTTGTGAAACCGGTGTACCCCGCCATTGCACCATGCACGGCACTTTGAGCAAGAAGTGTGCAGTAAACATTGTCAGATGCATTACTTGGTACAGCACGAATCATGTATGTCGGATCTATCAGAAGATAAAATGAAATGCTTTAATTATTCCAAGTCAGGCCAGAACAAGAGCTTCACTGAAGTCAATAGTATCTGAAACATGCATTTTCACCTACCTATATATTTCAGGTTTATGGGGAACTTCGTCTCTTTTGCAAAGTGATCCTGAAAATGGCAGAAAAAAATAACAATAATAAATAATAAAATTCATCCCAAAGTATATCATGTCATGCCATATCTATCTGCAAACAAAAATCGAGTGTTCTACACTGAAAAGATGTTGGCTTTGGAAGGGCTGGGTGCCAAATTCAGTTCTTGGCGAGTTGTTACAGTCTAGTAATCCTAAAGCAGCACATTTCACAGCTACAACTACATGGCTACATAAATAGAAGCAACTTAATCCTTCATTAAGCATCAATATACCTTAATTCTTTGTGACATCCACAGCCCAACATCATGAAGAAGCTTGTTTCCTGAGGCATCAGTCATTGAGTTTACGCTCTCAGAAAGGAGCTCTTGTCCTGCTCCTTCAGCTAACACAATAACCATGTGACCATGTTCTTTGAGTCGTTTCTCAATGAATTCAAAAAGTCCACCAGGTCCTTCAAGATAAAAGGGCGACTCTGGAATCAAACAACAATCCACGTCTCGGCTTGCAAGAGTAGCATACATTGCAATAAACCCTGCATAACAAGTTTACATTCCCAAAATGAAAGTTAAATAACCCTTATAAACAGAAGGGAAAACTATGTCATAGAATCACAAATCACACTGGTTGGCTTGGTTTAAAATTAAAAATGAAGTAAATAAGATTAACACATGATGATTTCATATAAGAAGGAAGCATACCACTGTAGCGGCCCATTAACTTCACGACACCGATACCATTCTCAATGCTTTCTGCTTCAACATGTGCAGCATTGATAGCACGTTGAGCCTCCTCAACAGCAGTGTCAAAGCCAAAGGACTTGTCAATAACCTGTAGTGGTAAAATGACAGTTTTGAGATTGTGTTAAGAAAATGCTAGATCTACACCACATAAGGTTTAATGTCTAACACCCTTGTGATGTAGCAACATTCTAGCAATTGCACAAATGAGTAGAAGTACCGGAATATCATTGTCAATGGTTTTGGGGATGCCAGCAACTGCAACTTTGAGACCACGCCTTCTAATTTCCTGAATGGTGAAAAGTTCAAACTTACTAAACGTAAACACCAGTTAATAACTTAAGATGTTTCTAAAAAATGAAATTACCTCAAATATAACAGACGCCCCCCTTTGAGTTCCATCTCCTCCAATGATATAGACCTGAGTCCCACTCAAAACAGTGCCCATTGGTTAAGTTGGTTTATAAGTCTCATGTTGAATGCCTTTAATTAGTTCTTGGCTTACATATGTCCAACAAAAAAATTCGAATATTAAACTATCGTACTTGATTAATTCCACGATCCTGAATGCTGTCAACAATCTTTTTGGTGTCATGTCCACCTCGTGATGTCCCAAGTATGGTTCCGCCACGTTTATGGATATCATTCACAACCTTGGGATTTAATGGAATGGTATTCTTAGCATAAAAGCCCCTGTATCCTCCCTACAAAATCCATTACCTCCATTAGTTCACCAAACCACTTAGAATAAAAATCATCCAATGGCAACAGAAGCAGCGTGCACCACCCTCCTCTGGGGGCAGCCGAAAATATTTAATAGCATACAGTAGTAATGTCTTCTGAAAAGGAGGAAGAATTGTGTCCCTGCATGTAAAAATTTGCTTACACTGGTACTTATTTTAGTTGCTCACATAACCCAAAGTCCCAGAAACTAAATATCAGTTCACTCATGTAGAGTGAAAAATTTTAAGCACTGAAAAAATTCAAGACCGAGCCTCATACACATTCATAAAACCTAAATAACTTTTTTTCGTTAAAAAGAATCCTTTCCTAAGTCAGAGGCGTTAAAGGGGAGAAAAGGTTTGAAGTAATGATAAGCACTTACATCTATCCCCAAAACTTTCTTGACACCATACATATGGTACAAGCCGCATACTAATTCTCTGATCATTGTATTGAGTCCAGGACACAGGCCACCGCAAGTCACAATGCAGGCATGAACTTCATCTGACTCAAAGTATACCTAATAAAACAACAAAAATATTTTGCTAGAAAAAAGCACTGAAATTTCATTACTTCCAATCTCATGCATAAGGCACTAGAGGCTTACCTTTTGACGGGGTCCAGCACGACGGAAATGTATCCCTCTTGGACCATCCTTGTGAACAACAATCTACAAAGAGGGAAACAGAAAAATCAAATGGAAGCATAAGTTTTGGTTTTCCATGGTATCCGCCATACTTATCCAGTCTTGTACCTCTAACTCATGAAATATGAAGTTTTCCAGGATACTTCAATAAGTGGTAATCCAAAGATAACAGCCCTGACTTGTTGAATAATAGCTGGTTATTATGACTGAAAGAAACAACTATGATTTCCCCAATTCAATCCACTTTTCTTCTCATTAACTAATTCCAGAGGAAAAATTAACTATGACACATTTTCCATGCCAAGAGTGATAGGATTCAATATGTGACACATGGGAAAAATTTTCAAACCTACATTTAAAAATTCAAAAAGAAAAAATAATTAAAAGTTGTGGCGAAAAGCTGACCTTTTGAGGGACGGTGTCATCCTGATGGACAAAGTACTGCCTGGTGAAACAGAGAAGCAATGGTGAAATTCCCATTCTATACATCAAAATGATACATAAAATGTTTTTGCACAATAATAGCACCAACTAAAATCGTCATATTAGGCATTCAAAATGAGCAAATTTACTTACTTAACAACAGAGTAGGCTGGATTGTTCTGCAGCGGATTCGGGTAGTTCTGCCACAGAAGAAAGTAAAACCCAAAATAAATTACACAAAATTGCTGTATGAGATTCAATTTTTCAGACCATAGACCATTGGATGAAGGAGTGCAACCAATATCAAGCTACTTTTCATCCAACGGTTTTAAATGTGCAGTTTAAACTGTAAAACAGTTTTCTGTATTTCTAAACTTTTGTAAACAAATGTGTCAAATGAACGATCTCAATAGAGAAACGAGATATATATCAATAACAGAGACACAGACACTTTTTTTTATGGGCAAGCAGACATTATCTGGATTGGTTCCTAGGAAAGACTCGGAAAAAATCAGCCTTTTGCTATTATAGCTACCCTTTTTCTCTGGCCTTTTTCTAGGGAACCAAACAGAAAAACCAATCCTTTACAATCATACAAACACGTGCAAACACATAAAAACAGAGAGAGCAATAACGACTTACAGGAAGATCGTCAATATAGTCCGCCAGGTGAGGGACATCCTCGAGAATATAACCACCGGGGCCAGTGACGACCTTCGGCTTGTTACTCTTGGTATTGTTGGGTGTAGAAGTACCGGCCATGATAGCTTTAGTAGACCCGAATTTGAAATCCGACCCGGAAGATCTCCGACTGAAACTCACTGCGCTGAACTTTCGCAGGCTGAAGATCCCGGAATTCGATGGCTTGGAGAAGCGTGATTTCAATGGAGAAGCGATGGCCGACGCGGTTGACGGACCACCATAGGCAGAATCCATTCAACGCTCATAGCGACAAAACGGAACATTGTAAGGAAAAACAGCTCCAAATTTATAGGAGACGGAGCTTTTGACGGTATAAAAAGGAAAAACAACGGACGACCGACCACGAAAAACTGTTTAAGCTCTTTCGCCCCCCACGGACCAGCCGCCGACAATTCTGTTTCCGGTTTCGTTGTGTTTTAAACAGGTGGCCGTTTCTTGTTTTGCGCGGCTTTTGACGCTCGGTATATGACGCGCGTTTGACGGAGTGTTGGAGAGGAAAGCTGTGAAGGGACGGCTCTAGTTGCGTTCCTTATAGGTTGATGGAGGAATTGACTCGGGTCGGGTAATTGGGAATGCCGGAAAACGGACGAACTACCTAACCGATTATTTTCTTGTTTGATTGTTGGAGGAAGTCGCAGTCTATAACTTTTGAAGCACACCTCTAAATCTAGTCGTTTTTGTGAACTTTCAAAATGATTTATAATTAATTTATAAAATATCATCATTAATTTAACACTTTTCATAATAGTTTCCATT